ATATGTAAATACCAATATGCACGCACAAACATGAGCATGCGTGTATACATATGTATATATATATATATATATATATGTAAATACATATTATACGTATACCCGTAACAGTATATATTCATAGATACATGCGCCCTTTACTTTCTGAGGCTGCCCTTGTAGGGATTGTAGCTCCACGGTCCAATTTTAGGGTTTCGGGGTTCGAGCTTCAAGACTTGTCTATAGCCCAAATCCTAATCGTGGACGACCGGGCGACCAAAGTTCAGGCACACGGCTTCAACCCCACGTTTGGCACCCCCACGCCAAAAGGTCAGAAGAGATTGCTTTGTGGTACAAAAAACGGGAGTTTCCGAGAATAGGGGACCCTCATATAGTACCCTGAATAGTGGGATCCTTACTATAAGGACCCCAAAATAAGGTACCCCTGATTTTCGGAAACTCCTAAATCTTTCGGGCTGAGACGCTCGTCCAGCTCCCGGGAGACCCTGCTGTACTGGTACAGGGAGCGCATCCGCCCACATAGTGCCCTTTGGATTCGGGCTGATTAGCGTTCAGGGTTCAGGGTTTAGGGCCGGGGTTTAGGCCCGCATAGTGCCCTTTGGATTCGGGCTGATTAGGGTTTAGGGTTCAGGGTTTAGGGCCAGGGTTTGCCCTTTGGATTAGGGTTTGGTGTTTTGGGGAATTAAGGTGGATCTTGCTCTCCGGGGATGGCAGTCTTGTGCATGTGCATGGGGTCACCGGGCAGGATGGCCAAAGGTCGAGGCTAATGCTTTTGCTTGATATAACTCCAAGACTGCAAGTCTGTAACTACTGCCAATTTCCTGCGGTCGACAGCCGATAAAAAAGGAGGACAACACAGGAGCGACCTTTGGGCTATTGGGCGTGTTGGGGTTGTGCGATGAGCTACTTCAGAGCTAAAGAGTAAGATAGAGATGGGGATTCTCGTTGAGGAGGAGTGTAGCGTTTGGGGTTGATTCAATTATGAATGGTTAAGGGCTTTCGTTTGACAGAATATCTGCGAACAGGAAAGATTTCACAGGCAGATAGGAACGGCGAAGACACAAGCCGATAAAGAAATCACCCCTGCTCTACGCACATACTAGGTAGAAGCAGGTGTGGGACCGATTCCATGAGCATAGGGGGATGTTTTGGCATGCGCAGGTCCAAGAATGGTACGGTCTAGACGGATGCATGGAAGGCGTACTTACGCGGGTCTAAGTGTCCGAAGCCTCCCTCGTGTTTGGACTTTGAGTCTGTCTTGATGCCACAACCCGCCAACAAGGACTATGCGCCAGCAGTGGATACTTCCGCAGAGACACAGCCGTGGTGCTTCTTGCAGGAATCTGAAGACCTTGCTTGCTTAGGTCCCCATGCAGGAAATCGTCTTCGCGCTTTTTGTATAGGCTTGTGGTAGTACAGCAAGACTAGAGAGGTTCTTGAGGCACATTTTCGTATGATTAGAATCAAGAACCCTAAGAATAATGGTATTACTAACTATTCAGGCTTCTATATTACCAGACATCTGGGAAAAGGCTTCTGACAACGGTGGAGCTTAGGAACCGGGATCCCGCGGATCAACTCTTCCCGCATGGCACGCATCTGTGAGATGAACCCGACGGAGGTGTCTATCAGGTCACCTCGGCTCATGCATATGGGGTTTGGGGAAGTTTAGGGTTTAGGGCAAAGTTTGTACTTTGTAGATATATTTCATAATATGTTATACTGGTAAGGAGCCCCAACCCCAAGGAATCCTATTACAATATATCCCTGTATTTATTCACGCTTATGTATATTGACTGTTCGGGCATCGGGCCTCCCAGCCTGCGGCTTTAAGCTCTTTCTTGTGTAGGTAAGCATGTGGGTAGTGCTCTAAATTAGGCTTCCCTTAGGGTCCTGTTTATTAGAGTCCCCTGCCGTTTTGGATACCTAGAATCAGAAAGGGACCCCAATTTAGAGACTCACCCGTGTGAGTATGGTGCTGGGGCTGAAGTCGTGAAGTTAGGAAGGCAAGGAAGCACCACGACGGAAACTATTACAGATCCCCCCGACCCCCGAAGCAAAGGACTTCATCCCAAACCTAACCCTAAACCCTCTTAACCATCCCAGAGGGTCCAACGGTTGATGATATAAATCCTGCATTACCCATAATAAGAAGTATCCCATAATTCCAATAGTTTAGGGTCAGTAGGGCAATGCAGGATTTATATCATCAACCGAAGTACCCAAATAGTAAGGTTGTAGGTCCCCAAAAATCCATACTCTGACTGGTTTCTGGAGCTTGGATTTTGGACCCTTAGGGCAGAACGCCAAACTGACAGCTTCAAGCCACAACCCTAAACCCTTAAGTCTGAACCCACTAAACCCTGAACCCTAAACCCGAAACCCCTGAATCACGGAAGCTGGTGGCGAAGGTATTCGGCCGCCGGGGCATCCGCTGCAGCATCCACAGCTGGCTGGGTAGGATGCTCGCTGGGAACCTCAAGCAAGGTTTGGGGTTTCAGCTTCAGGTGTTTAGGGGTTTAGAGTTTGGGGATTACGAGTTTAGGGTTTTGGGATCTAAGAGTTTAGGGGTCTAGGGTTTGTCATGGGGCCGTGCAGGACTCGGCTGTGAAACACAGGAGGAAGAGCCAACCGTCCGAGTTCAGGGCGAAGCAGTCATTTTAGCCAGGGTTTTATGGCGCGGGTGCATAGAGTTATGGCATGAGGTCATGGATGAGGATTATCTGAGATCAGGAGCTCCATCAATGTAACACTTCCAGGAAACTTGAAACTGTCATGTACACTTACTCTTCGATTTCGCTTCACTCAAAAGCCTGTTCAGCCAGAACCTCTAAACTCTAATACTAAACCCTACTTGGAGGACCATGGGACTCAGTAAGTAAGGTTACCAGTACATTAACTGGGTTATAGGTAATTGAAAGTGTACTAAGCTGAAGTATAACCCTAGAAACTAAGCCCCATGACCCTTTAAGTAGACTCTAGACCCATTCGGCCGCCAGTGGGCGACTCAGTACCTGTCAGGATAAGACCAATCGTAATACCACAAGCAACATCGAAGAGGACACTGCCTATGAAAAGTTGGCAATTGCAAAACAGTAGTGGTGATGACAATAATACTAATGATAATAGTAAGTTTCATATTCTAATACTTTCATATTCTAATTCTTACTGCCATAGGGGTAAGAACAATACTAATGACAATAAGACTAGCACCAAATAGTTAATACGAGCAACACTCATCATTATGCCAAAGTTATTAAGGCAATAAGCAAAACGCTGGTAGTTCATAAGAACAGTACTAATCGCAATGACAAACAATTTGTTTTAATGTGTAGGACGGGTATCCGACTTCTTGTCAGCAGGGTTTGGGGCACAGGTCCGAGCTTCAGGAACTTTACCTGGCTCGTGGATGATGAGCTGTTCCGGGTTGAAACGTCATGGCGGAGGAATGTATACCTTAGCAGCTGCCCCCACCCTGTTGGTATAATAGGAATCTACCCATACGCACATTCCTGCACACATGCGCATCAAGACGAAAACACGCACGCAAATGTTAGGTATGCTCTTGACTTTGCCTTTTTGCACGACGTTAGTTAGAAGCTTCCTGCCGCAAGAAACGCCCATGCAGACCGCCGCATCGAGGGAGCTCGTGGACATGGCGATGACCCCGGAGGCAGTAACACAGGGGCCTTAATAGTTAGAATAGGGTTTGGGGGCCCAGTATACTATAACTGAAATTTGGAGCCCCCAAAATAGCATAGGTCATTACTAAGGCCCCTATGATAGAAAGTCTTCAGCCGTGCAAGTTGTTACAGGGACGCCAGCCTCCAGGGCCCTTAATCATCAGAATAGGGATGCCGTTTGAAGGGGTCTGTAAGAGATCTATAAGAGATTTAGGGATGTAGGGGCCTTAATATTTCGAATCGGGCTTTGGGCATGTATTATAATATACATAGTTATAGTAAGGAGCCACAGAATACTAGTGGTATTATATTTAGGCCCTTATATTAGCTTACTCAGGCCCATACTGAGTAATGGCTCAATAGCAGTTCAAACCTTCGAACGCCGATCTGGCTGCAGCAGAGAAGTGAGCCCTAATTTAGGCACCTTAATAATATAAAAAAGGGTTTTGAATCAATCAAGGGTTTTGAAACATGTGGTACCGTATATGTATGTATATATATATGTAAATATATTGTGGCACGGATGATAATATGAACTCCGCATTCCGCATAATCAGGAAGATACCATACTTCCCACAGTCTAGGGCCTTAAGGTAATGCAGGATTTATCTCATCAGCAGTATTACTATATCAAGGAGCCCGAAAGCACAGTACGCCCCATGCCGGAATTTGTTGAATTTCAGAGTCTGAGCAGGACTTATATCACACGTCACGAAGCCCTGGCTGTGTGGATTCAACTGCCGTAACATAAAGGCCTCTAAAACTTGGTTTTCGGGCCCATGAAACTATAATAAGGAACCCCCCAAATAGTATGGGTAATTATTTGGGCCGCTATATTACCAGCTTCTTTGTTGGTGGTTCGTGATTCGTTCGGAGTTCGGTTTACAAAAGATTTCCCGGTAACCCTTCACCACAAAGCTACCGATGTGCCTGTTGTCCAGCTGTCTATGGTCCGTCAAAATAACGCAAGAGTACTGCTAAGGGACCGAGCTAGCACTGGATGGCGAAGTAACCTGGATCTTCTGCAAGTGCAACGACGTGTGTTTTGAGCAAACATCTTTGACACGCTTTAACACCCCACAGGCCTTTCCGGAACATCGCACAGTTCTTTCTGATATAGGGCAAGCGCTTGACGTGCTGCTCGGGTTGAAATTATCACTCACATTCTTGGCATTGTAGACCTGACTCTCTCTCTCTCTCTCTATCTCTCGCTTGGTCTGTTAGTCGCTTATCTCTGTGCACAGCGAAATAAGTTGTTACAGCATGATGTTGAAAAGAAAGTTTGCACATCCGAATTCAACACTGGCATGCGAGCCCTTCCTTCCACAGAGATCTCGTCAACAATTGATCCACAGTCCTGCAAGCAGCAGACACAAGTTCAGACTGCAGGCCTCAGGGTACCTCACTGGCCATTAAGGCTTGTTGAGACCCTCTTCTGTGCCGGTTGATTAAGCCCCACACCCTGCACCATATATCTTAAACTCCTATCCCCGATCCCTACTGTTGATGGACAAAATCCTGCATGACCCTAAGGATCCTAAACTATGGGAATTATGGTATATTCCTTCTAATGGGCAATGCAGGATTTTGTCCATCAGCTGTATAGTTTGGGATTTTTTGATTTGAATATGGGAGTTTCCGACAATAGGGCCCCCGTAATATAGTACCCCAAATAGTAGGATCCTTATTAATTAATAAGGACCCCAAAATAAGGTACCCCTAATTTGCGGAAACTCCCATATCGCAGCTGCAGCCCAGTCTGCAGGGCTGGACTAGACCCGCGTCCAATAGCCTCCCGGAGTGCTCATTCTGTTAAGGTAGAAGCCAGAAAGTTGGAATATGATTATCCTAACCCTTCTATGGTAATTATAGGGTATCCTACCATGAAACCATACTCCAAGTTTCTGGAGTTCCCTGTACTTACCTTTGGTTAGTAGGGAATGGAGGAATGGGGTACAATTATAGCTACTATTACTACCATTCTTCCAAAGCCTCTACAAGTTTGAGAAAAAGATAAGAACAACTATAAGACCTTGACAAAGATTCTAGGCGCACCACCTTTTTGAGTCTGTACGCAGTGACCTTCTGGTAGCACAGCCCCGATAAAAGAAAAAAAAAGGGAAATCCAAAGAATCTTGCTCGAAAGATCCTCATGTTCTTGCAACCCTAAGCCTAAACCCTAAACCCTAAACGGCCCTAAACCCCAAGCCCTAGGCCCTAAACCCTAAGCCCCAGGCCCCTAAGTTTGAGGCGTTCATAAACCAATCTAGGTAACTGGGCCCCAGGCTTCTGAGCCCGAAACCGCTGTAATCCATGAAACCCTAAGAGCCTGAAAATCCAACCTAGGCCCTCAACCCGAAACCCCAACCTTATCTGGGTTTAGGGTTTAGGGTTTAGGGTTTAGGGGTTTAGGGGTTTAGGGTTTAGGGTTTAGGGGTTTAGGGTTTAGGGTTCTCCACAAACCCTCAACCCTCAACCCTAAACCCTAAAACCAACCAACCTAAAAGTCCTCGCGCAGGTCCCCGACTGAAGCTTCCCGTTCGACCTGGCTGCCGGGAACTTTAGACCGAGCCGTGGGCATTCGTACACTTAGGGCCTTCCTTGGGGGGGATCCTTGCTGCACAGTAAGAATCGTCTGCCTTGCGGGATTTCGGGCTTTCAAAACTGAGCCCTAAAACCCAAACCGGGTACCACGGGGCCCAAACCCAACAAAATAGTAGGAGTTATGTCCACTCAATTCGAGGGTATCCCTAAGGATCAAAATAGCCCCCAAAGCCTTACATAGTATGGTCGTTGGGCCCAAAAGCCTTAATATATGAGTCCTTAGATCCCTCGGGTATAGCCCTTGAAACCGTACAGTACAAGCCAAAAACATTGGAAACCCCATAGCCTCTATCCTTAAGAGTAGTGTATTGGGAATCCCAGCTCAATGTGGCCTTCATCAGGTTTCCAACTTTATGCGGTTTACTGTAAACCCTGAACCCAAAAGGCGGTAAACCCCTAAACCCTAAACCCCGGGCTTACTGTAGGGTTTTGGATCACCAGGCTGAACCTGTAAACAAGAAATCCTACACCCTAAACCCCTAAAACCCTAAACCCTAAAACCCTAAACCCTTAAAACCCTAAACCCCTAAAACCTAAACAAGAAATCCCCGACCGGAGAGCTCCGAGTCGAAGCCTCTTGCGCGATGCCTTTCAAAGACGAGAGTCCCAGGGCATTCTCCTCCGAGGCTTTTGGGTTTAGGGTTCAGGGTTTAGGGTTTTGAAATTTGAGACCCAAAACTCAAAAAACGCGCTGGACCCTGAAATCCCTACGAACTCCCTAAGCCCTGGCAGCCCTAGACCCCTAAAGCTACACCATATGAAGCCTAAACGCACCACCTCAACCCTAGACGAAACCAAAACTTCCCCATGCCTGCATGCTTGCATGTAAACAGAACTAGACATACGAGTATGGAAGATTTACGGACCACGGAAGCCACTCTGGACGAAGTTCGCGGTGAACACATCCAACAGAAGTGTAATCGACACTCTTTCTCTGTATCTCTCCTCTCCTCTCCTCTCTCTCGATCGCTCTGTCTCTATCTCTCTCTCTCTCTCTCTCTCCGTCTCTCTCTCCTCTTTCTCTCTCTCTCTCTCTCTCTCTCTCTCTCCCTCTCTCTCTCTCTCTCTCTCTCTCTCTCTCTCTCTCTCTCTCTCTCTCTCTCTCTCTCTCTCTCTCTCTCTCTCTCTCTCTCTCTCTCTCTCTCTCTCTCTCTCTCTCTCTCTCGCTCGCTCTCGATCCACATGTATAGGTATATGTATGTGTATATATATATACACACATACAAACATATATATATATATATATATACATATATATATATATATATTTATTTAGACATACACATACATATATACATATATACATATATGCACACACATGGTAAGTAGGTGGGTAGGTAGGTATGTAGGTAGGTAAGCCTAGGGCTTAGGGTCTGGGCGTTGGAGGATCAGGGCTTAGGGCAAACCCTAAGCCAAACAACAATGCCAACGCTAAAGAACCCTAGCGCCACTAAACACGCTCCGAAGGATCCCAAAGCCCAAAACCGATACACCAAACACTGTAAAGCTTAAGACATAGATACAGAAACCACAAAACCCTGAGAGGGATCCTACCTCTGAGTTTACGGTTTAGGGCGTTTAGGGGTTCAAATCCTGGGCCTCAAATCTCGAACTTCGGGGAAAACCAGCGAAGAAAGAGCTTCGGGATTAGGGAATTTGAATCCACCGTCCTCGTTACATATCCCTAGGGTTCCAGCTACCTAAATCACGGGGTCCCAAAGCGCGCGCCGCATCCCATGGAGCCTTCTAGAGCCTCATAAATGGATGGCGACCTACTATTTAAGTAACTGGAGCCCAGAGGAAAAGGAGGTTCCGGAACCGACGAGATACCTTGGACCCTCAGAGTAATTTCCTCTCTAATCTTACAGATCAAATCCGAAACCCTTAGATACACTGTACTCAATGTGTTCAACCCTCCGAACCCTTACAACGACCTGTAAGAAGCACACTAAGCCACAGAAAACGGTTTAGGGTTTAGGGTTCAGGGTTTAGGGTTTAGGGTTAGGGCTTAAAGAGTGCGGAGGGCTCCTCCTGAGACAAGACCTGGAGAGCCAGAACCGCCTGTTGAGGCCACTCGGTCGCCGCTTCCTGCGCTGCTTGTAAGCGATTTCACATTGGTGGCTTAGGGTTCAGGGTTTAAGGTGTTGAACCCTACCTCAACACCCACAAAAGTGGGTAAAATACTGGCGCAGCGCCTATGACAAGGTGTTTTTTTAGATGTGGCCCCTGGCTTCTACCGCTTGCGGTCTCCATCAGGGGCCAGGTTGATCCCAACCTCGAGTTTACAAGCTCAGTGTATCCCTGTGTACAAACCCATTACGGAACCATTATGTGGGGCCTTTGTTTATAAGCCCAAAATGTTCGAGACAGATCTGACTCCGCACCCTCCACACAACATCCCGGCAAGCCACACGCTCGAAACCGAACGGCCGACAATGCTATCTTGACCCCCGCCCGTACTGGAAACAAAAACAAAGTCTAAACCCTAAACCCTAAACTAAACAGTGTTGGGCTTTTGGGATCAGTTGACTGCTCGATTCGCCTGCGGCGCCATAGACAGGTGGACCATGACCTCAGATTTCAGGTTTAAGCTTGGCTTCCTGCCTGCTACGGGCTTGAATGGTTAGAGTAGGGTTTTGGTGAATGTTATAGTTACATTCCTCCATATGCACTAGAAGGGGATCTGATTCATTGATTGTACAGGTTAAGACCCCTATACTGCACCCCGGCTTCTGACGCTCGGCTTGGCTCTGAACCAAGCCAAAAGACCTCAACCGGTGATAGACCTCTTTCAGGCATGAGGGTTTAGGGAATTCAATTTAAGATGCCACAATCAGGAAACCATGCTATTTGCCGGAAAACCCTGCTATGGTAACTTACACTAAATTCCCTAACACGAACAGAGAGTCGGTCCCAAGTCCTAAGTCCAACATCCCTAAACCCGCAACCCTACTATAAGGGCCTTCATACTTAGAATGGGCCCAATATAATATAAATAAAAAAATACATATATATATATATATATATTACTGGGCGTTGAAGTAACCAGGGAAAAAACAGTATAGACTATTATTCATAATGGGTTCCCTTTAAGCGACAGGTCCCAAACAAGTGTTAAAGTATGGTACTCCAAAGCCCCGAGTAAGGAACCCCCAAAATACGGTTGATGATATAAATCCTGCATTGCCCATAATAAGGAATATATGCCATAATTCCCAAAGTTTAGGATCCTTAAGGTAATGCAGGATTTATATCATCAACCGTAGTATTGGCAATTGAGGCCCTTATAGTACACACCGGAAGCGAACAAACAGCGTGGCCTTGTACCGGGAAGCAGAAGTTCCTCTTACCAGCACAGCTTGGTTTGGAACTGAAGCTACAGCCCAGACATGATGGATGTCATCGCTTTCTCCCTGTTTCTGGCCGGATGCCGGGCATGCAGCTGCACATTTTCTGTGCGCCAGGTCAGAGTGTTACTATCTTGCACCAAGCCTGGGGCCTACGGCATTCAGGTCGACCTCTTCACTGAGATCTTCAGCAGCATAGGAAACAGTCAGTGCTAATTATCCCCTGAACCCTGAACAGGGCTTATTTGGTTTGGAGTCTACGTTTTAGGGCCTAAGGCTTCCCCAGGTGCCAAAGCTCTGTCGGCAACTGTATACAGATGAGTTGGGAAAGATACACTTCTGACAAAACAAGTATACTGGAGCATCTTCAAAACTTCAATCCTAACCTCGGCACTAAGACCCTAAAACCTGAACCTCGCTCCCAAAACCCTGAAACCTGAACTTTGGTTCTAAAACTCTGAGCCATAAACCTCGGATCATTCCTCGAACACCCATGCAGTTTCTAAACACAATCCCAATGCTCGCCGATCGGCAGTCTCAGAATCTCTATAGCCTAAACAACCTCAATTTTCCCCAAGGGTCCAAGTAATTAGTCCTTATTTCTGGCTTTTGGTGCCTCAAAAGGCCCTAAAGTCCTATAAACACGGAGTTGGGATTTTCTGGGATTGAAAACAAACCCCAAACTTCTGAAAGCTCATCCTTTCCCCTCAATATGAGACCGGGTGCCCCCCCCCCACCCATGGAAACTCGGAAAATGATTTTATTGTTGGGGTGGTGTATTTTTATCTTTACTTTGACTTTCGAGGGTCGTGCTCTTGCTCCTGCGCCGGATTTTTCTCCTGCTCCTGCTGCGTCTCTTGCTCTCGCTCTCGCTCGTGCGCCCGCTCTTGTTCTTGCTGTTGCTCTCGCTCTTATTCCTGCAGTTGCTCTTACGCCTTTGCTCTTGCTCCTGCTCTTGCTCCGGACGCCCCTAATGCAAATTGGGCTTTCAATAGCAAGGTTGATTTCGGAAGGATTCGCCCCAATGTGTTTTTACTAGCAGGGGGGTGTTTAATAAAACGGGGAAGTGATTCAGCCCTAAATCCTTAACTTTCCAGCCCGAAGCCCTGGGTGTATAAAACGGCACCGTAAGCCCCATTTTAAACCCTGAACCCTAAACCCTAAACCCTTAAACCCTAGACCTAAGAGTAACCTAGGAATAAAAAGGGTGCCCTTTTTGGTTTAAAGGGGGTTATAAGGGAACCTAAGCCTCAAAAAAGGGAACAAGGGCCTACTCTGGGTCCTAGAACCCTGAAACAGAATCTCAAAGATACAGGTTTTCTGCACTGAGCACGTGCAGAAGCAGCTCAGGCTTCGAGTAGAAAAGCTGCCCAACACCATACCTCGGCCACAAACAAGGGGAGAATGTAGGGTTTAAGCTAGGCTTAGGTTAAAGTTTAGGGTTTAGGGTGTAAGGGTTCTCGACCGAACAATGGGGTTTAAGCCTAGGCTTAGGTTAGAGTCTATGGCTTCGGGCGCAGGGTTCTCGGCTAACACCAGAAGCGCGTGTTAGGTCTAAGTTTCGGTTTGGGTTTCGGGTTTAGGACTTTTAGGGTCTAACATCTGGACTTTGAGCCTCAGCTTTATCAAGGCACCCTGGCCAGACTGAACTCCGAAAACCGGGGACCCTGATATAGTACCCTAAATAGTAGGATCCGTATTACAAGGACCCCAAAATAGGTACTCCTTATTTTGGGACATGCCCATTTCAGGAGAAGGCCCATCTCTACGCTCTGGTGGAAGACTTAACAACGAAGGCTGTGGGTTTAAAGTAGCACCAATACCCTTGCAATGCTGCCGTTAAATGAAATAAAAACCTGCATTACCTTATTTAGGACCCTAAACTACGTGAATTCTGGTATCTTCCTTAGTTTGGGTAATGCATGATTTATATTGGTGGTTGTCAAAATTTTGGTCCCTGTTTGGTCCCTTACAGTACGACACCTAATACTTAGGGTACCCAAAAAGGAACCATAATTTTGACAACCACCCATACCATCAGCCGTAGTGATACAAGTTGCAGTGATAAACTGCAGCAGCGGATGTCCGGGCCTCTGAACCCAAAGGATCCATGTACCCAATGTAATATATACTGAGGCCTTAAAGTAGTCCCTATACAGTGGAAGCCAGAAAGTTGGAACATGACTATCCTCATACCAATCAGGTATAGCATAAAGAATCCTAGCACTAATCATCCCTAATCCATGTACCCAAAGTACTGTTGATGATATAAATCCTGCATGACCTTAAGGGCCCTAAACCATGGGAATTATGGTATATTCCTTATTGTGGGTAATGCAGGATTTGTATCATCAACCGTAGTATATACTGAGACGTTAAAGTATACCCTATATTGAAAGTGTATACTAATTGGGCACATGGAACCCACAAGGGAGTTCCCGAAAATAGGGGGGGCCGTTACAGCACCCTAAATACTAGGATCTTTTTTTTGTTACAAGGGCCCCAAAGGCACGCACCCCTAATTTTCGGAAACCCCCATACAGCATCCTCTGGAGGACGACGGCAGCTGAAATCTATGGGGCTTGAATAGTTGCCTATACTATTGTGGGGGCTCCTTAATATACTTATAGTATAATATACCCCTAAACCCGACTCTAACTATCATAAGGCCCCTATGTTACAACCGAGAAGCATGGCTAGCATTGCCACGAAATGATTGCTCCACGAGCCCTCGATGCACTTTGTCAAGAACCACCTCGGCACCCAAGCGATTTGAGGCTTCGGGCAGTCTTTCGAAGATTGGGATCACAAAGCGCAGCAGTATGAACTGCACTTAAAGGCAAGGCAGCAATGACGACGCTCAAAACTCAGGGCCAGGACACAGAGCTGTAGTATGATTTTTGGGTGGTGCATGGTATTGTATAGTGTGATGACGGAGAAGAGAATAAAGTCTGCTGGTACAAAAACTTAAGCTTTAGGTCTGCTCGAAGCACCTCCCGGCCTCGTGTTTGGGACCCTTAAACCCCAAACCTGGGGTTTAGGGTTTAGGGCTTACAGGGTTTACCTTAACCCCAAGTAACCTACCTTTTTAAGGACTGATATAAAGAAATCATAGTAGGGAACCCTAAAAAGCTAGGTTCCGTAGGGTCCGTGTAGGGTTTAGGGGTTTAGGGTCTGTTTTGGGAGACTCCTTACTTTCGTGATCATCATCGAGGTGCGACGCTCCAAGAGAAGTGCTGAGGGTGTTCATCGCACCCTGATTCCTGATAGCCCAAAGGCTGGAGGCCTTAAATCCACCCCAAACCCTTAACCCCGAAGTTAATGAAAACTCCCAGCAAGCGCAAGCAAGCTGCTAAACCGGCCCAAAACTTCAGACCAATCACATCAACTTCGTATTTAAATCTATGCCCATTGCTACATAATCCAACTCTCAAGCTCCCGGGTTTTGTGAGGTCTTGCAGGCTGACTTATGATTAGTTTCCAACAGGGTTTCGTAAGGGATGTCTAGATACAGGGGCCTAGGTTTCAATTACAGGAATTTGGAGGCTATACTAACTGAACACAAAGCTTGTTTTGGGAGTTAAGGATATGGCGTATTTTCGATGTCTGGACAATTCTGTAGCTCCTTCGTCAGCCCTGAACCTTACACAGATAAAAGCGAGGGGGGCGGAGGGGTTCCCAAGAAACTAGAAGAAGCTGTCGGGGCATGTTTCACGACAAATACATCGAATTATGACGGGGAAGGCCATTTGGGCCAGGCCGCAGGAGCAGAAAGCAAAGAGCAGAGTGGAAAAGACCTGGAGCGCTCCAGATGTAGCCTCGGCTTTCCAACGGAACCCATGACGGAAAAGCCCTACCGGGTAGCCTTGCAAACTTGTACTATGCATGTACGCATGCATATGTGCGGCAATATAGACAATTCCGAAGCTCCACAAATTCAAAGGCTTCGCGACAAGCAACAAAAGTCCCAAATGCAAGCAGCTACAACAATCCCCCCATGCTTTGTAAAACAGAAATGACAGGGGCATGAACACCACTATTGGAATTTCGGAAGTCCAAACCCACCAAGTCACTTTTTCACATGCTCGGGTTTTTTTGAGCTTTTGGATTTAGCTGCTCGTTTAGAGTTGGTTGGAAGTTATGCTGCGTGTGGATGCGTTGACAAATGATGGATTGCTTACCTGGCTTGCGGAACTTCAACATGTTCCACTACTCGGGCTTGCTT